GTGGAAAAAATCACGAGCGAACGTTCTGAGTGTTTACTGTTAAGAATGTAGCATGATAAATAACTAATTCAATGATAAGCTTCTTATCTGAAAGATAAGTTTGCTTTTCCAGCACGGAATCACAAATGTGAGCCCTCTAATTGGTTACTAACCATAGCAAAACTCCGCCGGTCTTTATATGAACTATATCCGCGTATTTACTGGGACCACGAGAGAGTTAGGGATTTTTCCTTTCGTGAGACCTTTCAATATATTTTGAGAGTGGGTTATCTTATCTCCAAAGTTGACGTTCCTCGGAATTAAACACTAATTTTTTAAATGACCACTTTTGACTCTCAGCAATTATTAAACTTCCTATCTATGTATCATGTGTTTACATGTTTGAATATGGGAGTTGTCCTTCGTTTACAATTAGGGAGACTTATAAGGCCTCTAAATTTTATTCTCAAGGATCTAATGACTAAATTACTTGAAAAATAACCTTGGTTTTTACTGAAGATTTTTCTAGAAATTGTCATTAGTCGTTAACCTGTTCCAGACTGAACTATTTAAAAACCTTTGCAAAAGATTCTTAGCCCTAGAATTAATGACTTGTCAGCAAGTAATTGGAACCTACTTATTACAATAAAGAAAAACATATTATTCTGCATAAGCAAGCGAGTAAAAGAGAGAGCTCCTAAGTAGAAATAGTTGGAAAGAGAAGAAGGTAAGATCAGAAGAACATAACAGATCAGAATATTAAAGAAAGTCCAAACTATAAGATGAACAAAGAAGAACAGAAAAACTCAGAAAGAAGTTAAGTCGATTTTAGCTTTGTGCAAAAGTAACTGTAGTAACTTCCAAATAAGATTAAAAGACCATTGTTAAGCTCAATCTTTGACTGTGCTGGCTCTCCTGAATGTTGTCACTCCCGTAACACTGGCGGATAGACTTCACGCTTTCGTTACACTGGTGCCCAAGTTAGTCATTCTTCAGGACACGCCGATTTTTCCTGCGGAAGAGTTTGGTATGATCCTGCCCCTCTTTAATATCTTTGCAAGACTTGCTGTTCAATCCCTTCCAGATGCCAAAAGTTTTTACATGTTTTGATCATCCCTTTTGAATGTTACGAACTCGTAGTAAAGTCATTATTGCTCTCTCTAGCCACTATAAGGACTGTTAGAAGGCGCGGAAAGGAGAAGACCTTTGGGTGCATCCCTCGGGACATGCCACCTTCCCCAAGCGACTGTGGACTTTTGAATAAAGAACACGTCAACAGCAAACACTTAAATGACCTTTAACAATTGAGTCTTGAGCCATTACTCTACTTACGCGTTTGGCGAAATTTAATCATGTAAAAGCCTAAACTTTTTGTTTAGCTTAATTTAACTTGTGTGTTATGTCATGCGTGCGTTGGAATTGAATTCTAACAAGAGCCATAATGAGACCTGTCCCATTATGACATTTGATTCTAACATGTCTTATAATATATATAAAGAAGTGCTACGTTTCGGCTGGGGCACCCTTTAATACAGAATGATTACTTTAAAAATACATTGGAAAATTTTAAAACACGCGTGGACGCATAGAAAGGAACGCCCCACACACAGCATAGGCCGGTGACAGGCTTAGCTATAATAATCCCAAAAAATCGCCCAAAACTTCTATCCGGATAATCTGCCAAAATGTTTTTAAAAGATTTCAAAAAGGCTCTAAAAATGTTACGTTTTTTTGTTCTAAAAATCTCAAGACTTTGCCGAAAACCAAAATATTTTAAAAAATCCTCATAACTTAAACAAGATGCCTACATAAAACTTATTATATCGTGTCACTAGCGTTTTTTTTCGGTACCTAATGGCAACATAATTGTAAGATACACGATTAAATGGCAAAACCCTTGTACTTGACACCACGAGGGCTAATGCATGACTCTGGTCACTCTTTTATACTATTTATAGCGTTATAAGCGCATATGCTTTTGACTTCTTAAAAGCGGCAGCAAAAACATTATCCATTATCCAGTATTCCAATCACTAAAGCTTTTCTACCCTTTTTTAAGCGATTTTTTTTAAGTTTTAAATTCATCTAAATGTTCTTGAGACTTTCTAAAAATCTAAAAAAAATCCGATTTCTGTTGCTAAGCCGGCCTACTCCAACAAAAATGTGGTATTTACAAATAATTGTTAGTAATTACAATCAAAGGTAATTGAACTATGCATTTTGAGGTACGACTACTCTAAGACTGGGCCTGAATTGTTATATATCTCTGCTCGTCTGTGCCCGTCACAAAAAAAAAAAAAATAAAACGAGACAAAAAGGGTATTTACTTGTGGTAATATTAATTGACAGTTTATCATTTTGACCGTGTATTTAGCCGTCTTTCTCGCCACTGGAAAAAGATCTAAAAAAATTGGGGTTTTTTTGTTAAATTGTAACGTCATACTGAGGGCGACTTGAGCCATCGGTTTGAATGTGTTTCAGCCATAGCAAGCCATCTAGAGTGTATCATCATCTTCGCTTATAATTACCCGTAACAAGTTGAGCTTTGACCACATTTCGGATAAGATACTTATTAAAGAGATTCAGAGTCACGACAAACTCAAGTTGAGAATTTCTCAAAATAGAAAAAAAGCACATCACGTAAAAACAGCTCATAACAATTCTTATGCGACTTATGGATGAAAAGGAAGTGAGACTACTTATTTATTTATTTTTTTTATTTTTATTTTTTTGTAGAAGCAATGAATACTAAAAGACACTGGGTTAAGGGAAAATTTGATCACGTGGTACAAATTTACGTCTGCCGTTTGGCGTCAACGTGACTTTAAATCTCTCTATTACAGATTACAAATCCGGGTAAAACTTTTTTGAATTTATTCTCAGTTAGGTGAATAATATTCCTTGTGTATAACGTTGATCAAGTTTTATGGCACAAAGAAAAAAACCTTATTAAGAGAGTTAAACGATCTTTGACCTCCCACTATGCAGAAAATTTTGAGAATCAAGCGAAGAGGAACTGACCCCAAATTTCGCGTCTCCCTATCGCTCGCGGAGGGCAGTCCAAATAAAATAGGGAGCTTGCTGACGAGCAAAAAATAATTAAGACTTAAGCAATAGAAAACGTTTTCCATGTTTGCATAGCCTGATATAAACACGAGAGGGGTTGGGAGAATTCGAGACAGTTATGCAAACCCGAGACGAAGTCGAGGGTTTGCATAACCGTCGAGAATTCTCCCAACGCCTCGAGTGTTTATATCAGGCTATGCAAACACAGGAAAAAAGTTTTCTATTGCTTTTATAAAATAACTTTCCCGAGAAAAAAACGCAAAACCGTTTTGTATGGTTCTGATTAAAAGAGAAATTCTTACCAGTCGCAAAATCTTGTCCACGATGTCTTGCACGCGTAATCAGTTCTTGTTTTGCAAAAAGATGCTTTGCAAAATACTGATTTTTCTCGCTTAAAATATCAGCTTAAGCGAAGAAAAATTGACTCGCCTTCTTTGTAACGATTTTCCATGTTTCAGCCGACGAAGGAATGGGTAAATAAAGTAAACTTGTCGAGTTTAAAACTCGAAAACTTTTTCAAATTTGTGCTTGCGTGATTAGCGCGCGAAAAGCCAAACAACTTGACGCCACAACCATGTTTACATACTCTGATGCAAACACTCCTCTCGGCCAATCAGAGCGCGCGTACTATCTTAGTTATTTTATAATAAGGATTGGTGAACGGCAATAAATGTTTGATGTCACTCAATAAACTTGAAGTTAGTGTTTTGAGAGTCTCAACTTTATGATGGGATCCTGTTCTGTTCTGTTTTTATTATATTGTTATTATTGATTTATTATTTTTCTACAAATTCATTTACTTTTTTTATTCATTTAACTATAATCATGGACAAAATTCTTTGGACACTTTTGCGTTTCTGGTGCGTTTTCCAATTCACACAAGTCCAACCCCTCCCATAACCCCACAAACAATGTTGGACCCTTGTATCCAGAATTGTTTCCAAGTTTCAACTTTGAATAGAGTGGGGGGCGGGGGGAGGGAGAACTAAAAGAAAATTCTAAAAGGATGCACTGTTTTAAGAGGGAACAGAGAAATGACAGAAAAATATGAATACTGCAGTTCTGTCCCAAGGACTTTTGTCCAGGATTGTAGTACTTACACGGCTGAAGGCAAGCTTTTAAATGTGGCCTTTTTACAGGCCTGAAAACTACTTTAAAACATCCATAAGTGTAGATGAACGTGCTATCCGATAAAATTTAAACTAACCTAATGCCTATACCAGTATTCTAGACTTTCTACAAGTCCTCCGCTTTAGTTGGTTCGTCGGTAAGGAGGGAAAACGTGAATTGTGGACTGACTGACTCAACCTCGTTCCCAGGGGTCTCTCCTACAACCCTGGGAACGAGGTTGTAACTGACTTATTGTCCCATCAAAGGGAATCCGGAAAATTTTCGATCGTGCAATCCAGAATCCTGGACTTGGGAATTCGGAATGCAGCTCAAGGATTCCGGAATCCCGCTAACGATTGGAATCCGGAGTCCACGTTCCAGTGACAAAGAATCCGGAATCCAGAAGCTGGAATCCGTAATCTATAGCGCAAAATCCAGAATCCAAGGCTGTCTTAGATTTCCTTACATGGAGCGCGTAAGAAAATTATTGCGTCATTGTGGCGGGAAAATTCGTCGCGTGATCTGAGAACTGAACTTTGCACGACAGTCTAGAAACTGTATAGTCGTTCAGAGTTGTGGAGCTGATCGAGTGTGTGGATTGAGCATAGATCATCGAATTTTTACGACAATTGATGTCGATGAATTCTTTAAGTGTAGAACAGAGTACAGAATTCTCAAATATGAACATGTGAAGAAATATACTTTCAATGGAGTGAAGAATTAAAGCTACATAGAACTGGTTCTGTCACACATAATTTGTGACAGAGCGAGGCTTACACTCTATGAACATTTAAGCCATCTACGGATAATATCCCCCATAACCATCATGCAGTAATAGTTCCCCTTTAATATTGTTTCCCCGAAGTGAAGACCATTTCATAATATACAGAATCAAGATCCCAGATAAGATCAAAAGGAGAAGTCAACTTGTTTGCATGATTAAGCTCACACGTTTGTCCATTGGATTTGTAATTGAAAGAAAAGCAGCTCACTGTATTCAAACACTTCAACGCGCACATCAGTTCACTATCCGCCAATAACGAAATGATGATACGTCCTTGTAAGGCTGAGTTCTCCCTCACTCGAAGAACGATTGCTTCGGGCTTTCTCGCTGCTGTAAAGAAAATGTAAAATCTACTGTTTATTTTGTTATTGATTTTTTCTAGTATACCAAAAGAGAGCCATGAGAGAAGTTTAGCAGATGATCGAGATGACATTACAAAAATTTCAGTCGTGACTTACCAGCAAACAGACAAGTAAATCATATTCAAGCATTAACTTAACTTCCCCATGTGTATGTATATATCATGTGAAACTAATCGTTTGGAAGTGTGGACTCGATCCTGACGAAACCGCCCCCACCCCTACCTCTCCCCCCTACTGCTACCGTCTTTAACTAGTCAGATAGCAACTTTATAATACAACTGTTGTTCAGTTTGACTCTTAATGAAAAAAGACAGTATTCAGATCAACAGAGTCGTGGCATGCAGTCTAATTTTTTGATAAGATTCTTTCCAAGACTGAGTAAACGCGCTTGAAAAAAATTTACTAGGCAATAGATTCACGCTAGAAAGTCCGACTAATTGACTGATCAGTGACTAGCTATAGTAGACTAGTACGTCACTGATTGACTGCATGGCTTTTTAGAGAGTAAGTTATTACTAACAGTAATTGACGTTTTTTCACCTTTGCAAATCATTTCAGCGATTTCATCAGAGCTCAGGTCCACCCTAGCCGCTGAACCTACTTGTGGAAACAGAAGGAATTGTTCTTTTGACGATGCGATTGTTTGTAAAACCTCTTCGTTGGTATTGGGTGAAGCTACTCCAATCGTTATGATTGCGATTTCCTCTTCCTTTACTCTCTGTGAAGACTCCACGGCTCGTTCGTGCTCTTAATAAAGAAAAAAGTGTGTGAGTTTAATTATCTGTAGAGATCAGTGCGTGCAACTCCCATCCTGACTCTGTTGTAATCAAACCCAAAACACTATACAGACATCACTGATAGCAAGAAACTACAATTTTACCCCGCAACCTTGCTCGCTTCCCCCCCCCCCCTCCCCCCCCCCCCAAAAAAGGGCTCGAATGTCTCTGTGCCCCCATGAACCCCCGGGTGCTTCCTTGGGCGCAAACTTACTCTGGTAGTCACCATCTGAGACCAACACAAGTACTCGTGTCACGTGACTTCGTCCACCCTTGGCGTTTGAGAACAAATCCCGAGCCTCGCCAAAGACTGCAGTCATGTTCGTTCCACCTCCGGGATGTGTTAAATGCTCTATGGTGTTATGGATAGCTGTGATTGTCTGTTTGTCCTTGAAAGAATGCAGCATATTTTCTTGTTGGGAAAACGATACAAGTGACACATGCGTCTCTAAAATGGAAGCAAAGAGCTGTATCTGTTTATTTGTTAATCCTCTCGTGATATCTGTATCATAGTCATGTTTTCTAAAAGCATAATGGTGAATTTTTTTATTTATCCTTGAGAAAATTGGCTGGCCAATCGGCCTAATCTGTAGATCAATTTGATTCTTCAAAACCAGCTGGCCCTTACCAAATTTGAAAGTTATACCATCGCTCACTCAGACGTCAATGACTATACCAGCCTATACCAGCCTAGTCCCTAGGCATTCTCTCTTGCCTCGTTGTCCGCGCGAAGTCTGGGAAAAAGCGGGCGAGAGAACTGAAGTTCTCGGCGTGTATCTCTCGGTGACGTCACAGCTCACGGTAGAGTCCAGGGTTGTCCGAGCCGAGAATGCCTAGGGACTAGGCTGTTGCTATACCATCTTTGACGTCGCGAAGATAGCGGTGAGGCAGCCTAGCTTTTATTAGCATGAGTGCAGAACTGCAGAAAATGGTGTAGACTTAACGGTTGTTTACAATTTACAAAACCTTTCTGGAAAATCGTGTTGGAAAGTAAATGAAACGCGACTACTTTTGGTGTCGTTCCAGCGGAAAATTCCCGGGACGAGCGGAGCATTTGAAAAAAATAGTCAGGTTTTTACGAACGGCGGAATTTTCCAAACGGAAATTCGTGTTCCATTCAATTTCTTCAAAGCAACCTTTTTTCACAAGGTTCAGGCCTTCTCAGCCGTTTTTCGGTAAATGGTTTGGATTTGTACACATTGAAAACGCAATTCCGGGATGAAATTGATTAGTCCTGAATTTTGCTTACCATTTGCCCCAAAGCGTGAACTGACCGGTTTGCTGATGTAAATAATTGTCAATCGACATCAAGGTTGTCAGGGTGGCCGAGCGGTCTAAGGCGCTGCGTTCAGGTCGCAGTCTACTCTTGTAGGCGTGGGTTCGAATCCCACTCTTGACAGCTTATCCTCTTTTTCTCCCAAGACATGATTTTTTTCTTTTGTTCGTGGGCCTCGGGGTCCAGGATCGGGTTGCAGAAAACATCTTAATGGAATCCGTTACTATCATTTTAAACACAAGCAAAAGGTTATTGTTTCAGAAAAAAAAAACTAAGAGCCTTCTTATCTTAAGAAGGTTTGTATGCAACCCGGTCCAGGCCAACAGAACAATGAATTCCTCCGTGACGTTGTATCCAGTCTACAAAATACCGCCTCATAACTCTGCGAGTTTTTCGACTTTTGCCGGTGAGATACGTTTTTCTCAATATAACTGAAGTTTGACTGAAAAATGTACCCCTTTCTGACGGAGCCTTCCCGTATAGGCCATGGAAAATATACTTAACCTCATTCTCTTTCCAAAGCTGTGCTCATTTTAGATCAGATTACTGAGGACGAGGTCGACAATAGTCAGTAACTTACAGGTAAAAGGTTGCTTACCAGTTGAAGAGATTAAGAAACGTGACGTGACCTTCTTCATCATCTCTTTTACATCCGCAATGTCTTGCCATGGAATGCTTCCTGACACGTCAATCATAAAGGCTATATCCATAACAACAGGGCATTCTAAGAGGTGAATATTCACACGAAGTGATCTCAACAGAATTTGCGCAAGTGCTACAATCATGGACCAAAGTCCTTGGGACAGTAAAGCAATATTCAT